TCATGCAAAAGCACCTTCGATATCCTTGTGATTATACCTTGAATATTAATGTTGATATCAGGGATCCTCGATCGGAATCATAATAGTACAATTACAACAATCCATTTCAAGACAATTATAGGATCGTTTAACAAACAATAATTAAATAATATATCATCACAAAAAATTTTTAATTATTCAATAAACATCACAAATTGCTTTTTTTTTTCATTTAATGGAAAACAGACAGCATCCAATTAATGCGAACGAACAGCCGGATATTCTGCTGATGACAAACCGTTATCGACAAACTTGTCACTACACATGATGTGAGAACAAACCAGTCAATTATTGAGATGTAAATTGACACAACAAACCAGCGAGTACTATTTCATTATTATCCTATATGACAGTGATGATAAAATATTTCATATTTTAGATTTTTATTTAGTTACTTTGTGTGCGGCATTGTGGAACTGTGGCAACGAATTAGGTCACTATGAAGTTGTCAGCTTAAAAACCGCCTAACTGTTGGCCTGGAGATGCAAACTTTGTAATTTATTGATTGACTGTGCTCGAAGTTGTAACAGCTATATCCGCGCGGCCTTGTTTTGTCCATTTTGCATTTGAAACTACTACGTCGAAACTTCAAAATCAACAGTCCGAGCTGTAATTTATCGTCTAAACGGGCTCGCGAAGTTATACAGAACTCCGTCATAAAGAAAACTTAGGGAGCTACGAAATTAATTTTTCTTATACACGGATTTACTAAAATTAATAAAAACATCGTTCAACTTGAATTTGTAAAGCTTTAAACCTAACAAAATAAAACAAAATAAATTCAATACCTCTTTTTTAAATCTACACTAAAACTTATTTTTAAGAGTCTTAGAATGATTGGAACAGGTGATTAATTATGATATGAAAAGAGAGGAAGGCAGAAAAGTACCAAAAAAGATAGGCAAAATTAAAAGAAGGGGTGAGAGAAATTGGAAAAATTGGCGAAATTAAGTGTAGGATGATAAGAAGCTACGATTAGAAATATTTATGTACAGAAAATTGATATAAAAGAGAATCTATTAGTCAACGGAGCTGTTAAAGCAGATATGGTAGGAGATTATCCCAACAATATATAATCACTAAATCTCGGCTTCAAGCGACTTCGGCTTAATTATTCAAAAGATCCATAAGTCCACTTGATAAAGTCGATGCCACTACTTATCGTCGAAAAATAAGCGTAAGTAATCAACGTATTTATTCGGGAGAATATAGAATATGCCGCCATTGGAACAAGAATGATATCATTGAATTACGTAATATTAAATCAGGAAATTAGTGGTATTGGTTGTGATAATATTATGGAGAAAAAAGGGTAAATACTATATATGATTATGTAGTAGCAGATCAGGAAATATAAGAACATGTAACAACTTTAGTTTGAAAAAATCAATAGAACCAGATAACCGAACGCTAGAAGTGGACCCGAATGACGATAGGGGCGAAATAAAAAGGGAGAGATAGCGAAGGGTATCAGGAAATATAGGAATATTAAAAGGATAGTGTGGAATGTTGCAGAAATAGATAAAAAGAAATGGAGATTAAAGTTAAGGAGTACAGCAATTCTAGAAGAAAGAAATGGCAAGGAATAATTGATAGAATAAAGAATGCTTAAATGTCGAAAATAACGCTGTGGTGCAATGAACAACAACGAGATAGCAGTTACAAGAAAATACATTGAACAATAAGTTAAGAGTGTGTTGTAGTGACAAAACAGCTAGAATTCGGTAGAAGTCGGAATTCGGACATATTACAGAAAAACTTTTAGAACAAAAGTCTTTCACTTTTGCTTTCAGATGCATAAATATCGAGAAAGATGCGATAACATGAAAATTAGATGAATTTACCAGTTGTTAATGGTAGAACTCAGGACACAGACATGTCAGAAAAACTTTTAGAACAAAAGTTGTAGCAATTTTTATTCTAAACAATACTGATTTATTCACAATATATATTTGCAATATAATTGTGATTTTTTGTTTATTCACGAGAATGAAGACGGCCGACATCGTACGAACGATTGGTTTCAAGAAACAAACTGTCTATGATGTCGTGAAATGTTACAAAGAGACTGGAGGGACTGCTGAGTATCCTGGGAGAGGTCGTCTAATCACTTTCACGATTCCGAAGAATGTGCAGAGGTTCGTTATTATGTTCATCACAACCCGTAGCGTTCGATCAAAATGGTAAAAGAGTTTGAGCTCAGAATAACCAGAAAGGACACTAATGTTGGTGCCTTTGATTTTGGAGGAACTGCATTTTTTGACTTCGATTTAAATTCCGTCAAGAAGAGACCCAACCGTTCTGGAAACGTCGCTCGCTTTGCTTTTCTCGAGAGAAGCCAAATGAACCAAAGGCAAAAATGGCATCGTCGCACAAACAAAGTTTTGGTGGGATACTTCCAGTGTCTTTCCGATTATTCTATGGTTTAGCGTCAATATCGGTAGCACAGGGAACATCGTCGGAAGAAACCTAAAGCTTCGAAACTACAAGATCGGCCCTCTCCACTTCCTCAACGATATAATGAAGCTGATAACATTGCAAAATTCTAGCCAAATAATTCGTCTGCTAGTTGGAGCTCGTTTATCAAAAGTTTTCTTCACTGATGAGAAGATTTTCACGATCGAGCTGTTTCGCAACCATCAAAATCATTAGTTCGGGCTGACACAATTACATTTTTGGGTACCTAGTAGACTTAGGTCGATGTTAAATTGTTTCAAACTACGAAACGTCAAAGTATAACTTTTCTCCTTTGATATTCCAGATAGTCTAATCTAACAGAAGTCAGGCGGTCAGGATTGGTAGTTTTGTATCTGGTTTCAAACCTATCATATCCGGTGTGCCTCAGGGCAGTCATCTTGGATCCTTACTATATGTAATGTACATAAATGATATTACTTCTTGTTTTAAATTTTCTAAGTTTTTACTCTATGCCGACCTTGACCTATCTATTATGACAAATACCAAAAAATTATATTTACTTGGAAACGTTATCCTCTCCATTTTCCTTACAACTTTAACGGTACTGCTATCCGGTCCATGGATAAAGTAAAAGATCTTGGCATTATATTGGATTCCAAATTGCAATTGCATCATATTGAATTTATGGTAAAGAAATCTCTAGATAATTTGGGGTTTGTTATCAGAATCAGTAAGTACTTCACGAAAGTATTATATTATAGACAGTATAATTGTGTATAAAAACCCTTTAGTTCGCATTTGTCAACAGTGTACTATGTTATGGTTCCGTAATATGGAACCCCATGTATGCGATGTATTTGGCACATACATTTCATCTTTCTTACTGCGATTGCAATAGGCGTTGCGTAGTCTTCAACTTATTGTCTCTGCAGCAACGTCGAGTCATTTCTGACTTGATCTTCCTTTTCAAGCTTGTTAATGACATGCTGGATACCTCCAATCTTCTACCTGAATTGAGCTTCAAGGTACCACAACGGCTTACACGTTACAACGCCACATTTCGGTTTGACGTATCTAACACCAACCTTTATCAAAACTCGCCATTAGTTCGAATTCTTAATTCCTATAACCACAGCTTTAATCATGTATTTGACTGTATATGACATGTATTTGAATCTTTTTGACGTTTCTTTACGCTCTTTTAGAGAATATGTGCTAACGTATACCGTATGTGTTGTTGATCGCTTTATTGTTATATTTATTTTAGTTTATGTCACAATTTTTATATTAATTTTTGTTATTATGAGGATGTTTTGGTGGGAATATTCTCCCTGTATGTATAAAACTTTACAATGAGTTTCGAAAATTATGAAAAATTAACCTTAAGTACCAAACATTCTTTTCTGAGATGATTGACAGGCGGAAACAAAACTGACCTATCCTTACATTCCTTCACGGTATAATTGAGGTTTTAAAAGAAAACTGACCTATCAAAACATTCCTTCATGCTATAATTAGGGTTTCTTCGCGCTATAATTGGGTTTAAAAGGAAAATTGACGTGTCCTACTAGTCCTTCACGCTATAATTGGGGTTTCTTAACGGTATAATTGGGGTTTCAAGTGAAAACTGGCCTTTCCTAACATTCTTTAGCGCTATAATTGGGGTTCAAAAGAAAACTGCCCTATCCTAACATTACCCAATATTTTTGTCAGAGTTGATTGACATTTGTAAACAAAACTAACATAACTCAACTTTTCTTTTGTGGAAATCATTGCTCATTTTTTTTAAATCTTACTATGTTAAAACACATTCTTTGATGTTTTGCTTGAATTGATAATACGCCATCTTTGGTGATAAGTGAGATATTTGCAAATTTTTCAGTTTTTGCCGATAGGATGATAGCTGTTTGGAATTTTCAGCATTAGCAGTTTCTCTAAAAACGAGATCATGATATGTAAGCTAGTTTTTTTCTATCTATTTTAGTTTCGGAGATAGCTTACACGGACAACGAATTTGAATAATAAACGAAAAGTTTCGATCAATGGGTGTTGCCTAACTCTATCTTTTGGAGTTAAGGAGTTTTGGAGTTTCATCGTTTTCCTTATTATTTGTTTTGTAATTGAGAAAATGGTCAACGATATTCAAGATGTTCAAGGAGACATTCCACTTTTAGAAAAAGATTTAACAATTCAAATTTTCTTGCTTTTGAAATACTTTTTGTTGTAATATTACATTAGCACACTAAAAATAATAATTAAATCTTTATAAAAACGTGTCTTATATATTTCAATATCCAAAAAAAATTATATCAACTTAATACATGTTTATAAATAAAATCATTCGAGTTCAAATTTAATTATGTTTGGGAAAACCCAAACCATCAATAAGAATGCAATATTGAAAAGCGATAATATGTACGGCAAAGATTTTGTTTTCAATTTACATAGTTTACTTACAATGATCGTGTAAATAGTAGAGAAGTTTTTAGTATTTATAGGTCCGTTTAAAGCCTTATATAAGCTATAATAACCTCGGAAAATTATACACAATAATTTAGTGTGTCTCGAAACGTTGTATGAGTAGAATGTGTTGTTGAAAGTGTTTGAAACGATGGGGTTTTATCATGACATATTTCCGGTTGTAAACTCAATCATTGAAGTAAGTTAAAAATTTTAATTAGAGTTCTAATTAAAATAAATTTTTTTAGTATTTTTTAAATGTTAGTAAATTGAATAAAATAGGGGATGGTGGAATTTATTTAAAAAAGATGCTCTCTTTAATAGTAGTTTTAATTACATTCACCGGGATTGCACCGTTTGTAATTTTTAGATCGACTTTACAATTATTTTTAAAATTTTTTTATGGAAAAAATTATCTTGGGATGTTATCCGGAAATGATAGGCCATGCTTAGATCCGTCTTGCCTATTTTTAAACGTTTATATATTAGAACATGATGGAACTATAAATGAGATATACGAAGACGTTAAAAATTCTTGTAATAAACTATTTTTTTCGCATACCAAATTTTCAAGCGTAATGAAATCAACGTTGGGTTATCAATATTTTGTTGCAAATCAAATTGGTTTTGATGAAATTTTACGAGTTGAAAGTTTTAATGAAGATCATATAACCAAAGAAGATCTTTCCGAATTTATTGATGAAAAGTATTCGTATCCGTTGGAAAAGAAGCTTTGGGAAGTTACGATTATTAACAAACCAATTATTTATAATAAGCACTCCGAAAATAGAAATTGTTATGCGATAATTATTAAAATTACTCATACGATGTCAGATGCGATTTATTTATCTTCGATGCTTCAGAAGTACTTCTTCAATAAATGTGATAACAAAAACTTTATAAAAGCTTTAAAAAGTGCAAAGACTGAGAAAAGTAATCGTGTTAAAAACATAGTTAAATACATTACGATTCCTATCAAATTACCTCCACTTAATAAAACTAATCCGAAAAGTATTTCGAGTGTGTATATAGAAGAAAATCAAGTTTATTTTAATATGGTGAGAGAAATCAGGAGGAAACACAACGTAACTTTTCCACAAGTTATATTCACAGCCGCTATGTGTAGTTTCTCAAATTATTTGAAAAATAAACATCCCGATGTTGAAAAAGTTCGATATGGTTACACAATTCGTCCTGAAACTGAAAACATAAACCAAGTTTTAGAAGGAAAAACTTTAATAAACGATTTATCATTTATGACTTCAACATTTAAATGCAACAACAAAAACATTAAAGAAACCTTAATGAACATTTCGAAAAGTTTAAATGAACAAAAAAGATCAACGGATGGTCAAGTAAGATTATTTTTAATGACTAATTCAATTTTATTTAATATTCATTCATAGGCAATGTATCTTTTGCAACAACTAGGAACGCATCTGCCATACCCAATTCTTAAATTGTTTTTTAAATTTATGATTCGTCCGATAACGGTGGGTTTTTCAAATATTCCCGGCATTAACGATGCTTTTATAAATGGAAAGAATGTTCAAGATGGATTTGTTTATGTAAATTCTTACCTAAGCACAAGTAGGTCAACACAAAAGATTCCAGTTCTAACATTACATGCTAATATTGTGTATTTTTTAGAATTCCTTTTTCAAATTTACACATACGACGGCCGAATCCAAATCAATTTAACAGCTACAAACAACACGGTTGATACAAGAATGGAAATTGATGGAATTCTTCGAGGTATTTTTGAAAATATAAATATATTGTACAATGAATAAAAGCTGTATTATAAAGCTCTTTTTTATGTTTCAATAAAATTACCTCAATAAAAAATAAAAAACGAATTTATTGAAACATGTCCTCGAATCTAATTTAATTGTGAAACATTTTAATAATACCGCTAAAATTGAAAAATTCATTCTAGTTTTGTTGATTTTTTTTGCGGATTATGAAGACAATTTTGTTTTTAAATCCTATTTCATACATATGCATGATTTATTATACAAAAATATTAAAAATTGATTTACTAAACTTATTACATATTTAACACAAAAACACATTCAAAAATCAAATTCGAATAAATCCTTTTATTAAAAAAATGCTAATCCGGTTCTGCAAATTCCTTCAACTTATTCTTATTAGAAGGTAATAAGAAGATTTTTAAGACCTTCTAACTCCAATTAAACTGAATGTAAAAGCGATTACGCCAGCGTGAAATGTAAAAACATTACTTACAGCTATCAAGAGAACGGTTTCGCAATGAAAGACTCAATAAAGCCAGTATTTTTTCCTCCAAGTCATTAAAATAGAAAAATTGAATAACCCCGGTGATTTTTAATGTAATCGGTACTTTCACCATTTCAGGAAGCGGTATTTTCCGTCGTCTATTGCCTATGGAAGGATTCCATTAAAGGAATTCGCACCTCCCATGAGCCAATAAATCCGGCACCTTCTCTGTCGCACCGAATTTATCGGCCCTTAGATGGCGGCGGCGTTCTACACCCCAACCTCACACACACACCAAAAGCATCGTGAGTCACCAAGAGGTCGCATTCTTCGGCTGCAAGGGGAGGAAATGAAATTTCCTGTATTTGAAAGCCGAACGGTAGCGGTCGTTCCTTACTCAGATAAGAAGTGATGAAGGTGAATGCAATCACTATTACGTTACTTTGCATCTAGATACTAATTTGTAAGGTGGATGTTTTAGTTTCGTAGTAATTGTGTTAAAGTGATGATTTTAAAGGCAGGAAATGAAGGTTTAAAACGGAATTCAATATCAACTAAAGCAATTTTGGCAGGGGGAAAAGCGAGATTTTGAGTTAAACCCTGCAGCTATGTAGGTTCGGGTCAATAAACGATAAAGGGCTGCAGCTAACGCTGTTATACGTTAGTTGGCACGGGGAGTTTTCAATTAAGAGCACCTCCCCGAACGGATGTAATAACCACTGGATTAGCTACCTAGTTAATTTTGGTAATCTTCCCTCGACTTTAAAGCTGTGACTTCAATCAGTCGTGATGTTAGAACTTTTAAACCGACTTCCCCTTCGTCAACGTGCTTCCGATATTTCGAACTATTTTCTGATATTTCGTTCCCTCTCCGAACATTTTCTACTTTTGTTTTGGTGATTTCTGTCCATTTCCCGCTTCTTTCTATTTTTTTTTATTTATTGAAAAACTGAATGCACCGAAAATGAATTGGAGGATCCTCTATAGTTAACAGATTTTCTATGGAGAGCTTTTATCTGTTAAGATAGATTAGGGGCCGTCGAGAGTACCGCGTGAATCAGGACTCGGTTCGTTTTGACGCATTCAAGTTACGCAAATGGTGAACCATTGTGTGAATGAAAAAAATCCTTGCGTTTCGTATCCTGTAATTTTGTACAAAGAGCTGATACAGTGAAATATTTGACAGTCGACCTAAATGAAGATTAAAGCAACCGTAAAATTAGCGAATTTTATAGGAAATTTGTTTCCTGTGGTGATAAATTTTCGTTATAGATCATTTAGGGTCATTTTATATAAAAGGATAATCGTGGGTCCCCTCGAAGATATTTTCTAAATGATGCGTGAATATTTCAGGTAATTTTTTTCTTCGCTGTATTCGCATCCACCAAAAGATTAAAGCTTATCAGTGCCGACCAGCCCGACGTCGCTCAGCTACGAGGACTACTCTTGATCTTTCGATCTATACGATTAAAGGTAAAGAGACTGTTGAATCCCAACGGCCGGAGGAAATAATCTAGGTAAGATCACTCGCAAAAGCATGACGTTCTTAGTCCGTATCCGAAAGGACCTAATGAAACATTCGAAAGAGGTTATTCATTACTGGACGAACTCGAATCCGGTCGAAACTCGCCGGCGAACTTTATCGGTATAAGTTCTCCTTTATTTCCGGCATCCGGTCGCACTGGAACCTTCGCAGTACGTGATTCACGGCTGCCCCACGGGCAGGACGAATCCGAAACTTAAATTGATTTCATAAAACCGCGTTGTTGTGCCCGTATTGTCCGAAGCAGCACCGGCAGTCACCGGGGGATATACGATTTTGCAAATAGATAACAATGTACAACGGAAACTACCCACGCCACATATCGATCCTTTTTACTTGTGTTCTGTTTGTTTATCAAAAGGAATTTAAGGACTTTTTACCTTTATATTGTGTTGAATTGAATAAAAGAAAATATTCATATGGCAACAAACAAATCTCTTCTTATTTTATTCTTGTCAAAAGTTCAAGGAACAAAGTATTACGGAACAGTGTAGGTGTACTTTGACATTTCAGAAAGAGTAATCTCGGAGGATCTGAGGAGGAATATCGTTAAAGAGCTATTATCAAAGTTCCCAAGAGGTAAACTTCCTAATGTGATTGTGGAGACCATAAACCTTGTTGAATATGCAGAACTAGGAGGGGAATTGATAAGTGGCGAAGTGCTATAACGTAACTTAAAAATTACTGATAAGAACGTAAGTTGTAATAATACTGCTAAAAGCACGCCACATTTGTAAAAGTAGTATCGATGTAATGTTTCTAAAGGCTCTATCTTTGCACTTAAAGAATTAACATTAATTTTTTTATGATAATAATGAATACAATGCACAACATACCATCCCATCAGTGTGAAGCATAGTATTATAAATACAAATTACGCGATGTGATCTTTTCGCTATAAATATTTTGAGAATTTGTAGTTGAAACTAAATTAAATTTTCGAATTTAAACGCCTTCGATAAATAACTACAGCTTCAGCAAGATAACCATCCCAATTCACGCGCGCTCTCATAAGTTGTTGGATTAAACGCCTAGCAGACAGTCAGCAGGAAGATATATCTTGTAGGGTCATACATTGTAGTTATTTCAGATAGTACGCTTGGGACAGATGCTATTATGTCAGTGAACCCATAATTTTTGCAACATAATTGCCAAAGGAAATTATCGTCATGTATCTGTGTCACAAACAATACACATTTATTATTACCTGTCCACAGAAAATTAAATATATTTCTAAGAGCATAATGATTTGAATGTTTTTGTTTTGAGTAAGTTAATCTGCTTAAGTATCTCAATTAATATGTTGTGAATAACTAATTTACAGCCCAGTTTTAGCCTTAGCATCAACTAAAAGATACTATTGCTTGATACTGTTAATGTAATCACATTTTCGTGTTTTATAAACGCTTACCAAGTCAATTTGTAGTGTATTAATATGGCATTCATAAAAGAAGTTGACAAAATAACAAGAAAGTTAGCTAACAGACCGTAAGACACGAATAAACCAATGAAAGGCGAAAAGGAAAACATCATAGCAGAAACGCCACGTGGAGTAAGTCATGTCAGCATTATCCAAGCTGGATGGTAAATACCTAAAAGCAGATCCACAACACACTACTGAAGTAATTCAACCATTACTCAAGAGAGTATGGCAAAAAGAAAAGATGCCGTCGGACTGGAAGGAGGCAATAATTATACAACTCCCAAAGAATGGCGATCTATCGAGGTGCACTAATTAGAGGGATACCACATTTCTCGCAATATCATTAGTAAAGTCAGAGAATAAATACAAGAATAATGGAGTAAATTGAAACAAAACTCAGAAAGGAACAGGTAGGTTTTAGACTAAACAGATCATGGGTCGACTACATTAATAGTTTAAGAATAATAGCAGAACAATGCATGGAACTGAAAACCACAATGTATATGGTGTTCATAGACTTCGATTCACTAGACCACAGAACACTATAGCGCATATTAGAGATAGCTGGAATCCCACTCAAAATAACACAAATAGCACTAATAAAAGAATTATACAAAGATGCAAAATGCTGCCTACTACACAAAGGCAAAACCAGAAAAGCCTTTTCTGTAGTCAAAGGCGATGCAACAAGGTTGCCCCTTCTCCCCATTACTCGTTAACATAGCACTAGACTGGATCATAAATACCACAAACCACCAAGAACGAGTTATAACATGGGAATTACACCTATAACTACTTTACCTTGGTAGCGCATACTTTCAATGAAATGCAAGTGCGCCTAGAGAAACTGAGTTAAAAGGCCAAGATAGAATATAATAAGTAAAACGAAGGTTCACAATAGACAATTCACAAATACACTGAGAGAAATGGATTGTACTATGCACTAAAAATATACTATAAGGTATAATACTTTACTACGAAAAGTGACAGCGAGACGAGATTGTATTCAGCACAATAAATATAATGAATATAATACAATGAATTGCTGCATGTATAATATTTTTTCTATAATACGATTCATACAATCTATTTCTTTCAGTGTAGAAGACGTTCGGAGAAGAGGGAGTTCACTTATCTAGGCAGTGTAGTAATTAACGAAGGAAGAGACACCAAAGGAGACATAAGAAGCTGCATAAATAAAACCAGAGGAACCATTACAATACTGAAAGAGGTATGTGACAGTCCAAATCTAACAAGAAACAATAAAATCAGGGTATATGACAGTAACGTAAAATCGGTTCTATTATACGGATGTGAAAAGTGGGAAACCTCAAAAACGAAATGATTAGACCGAATAAGATACGAGAAGGTGTGAAAACCCTCAAAGGAAACCCAACTCAGTCAAGAAATCCGTCAGAGAAAAAGAAACGGGATTGGTCGAAAGGAATCTGAAAATATTGCGAGAACAGCAAGAAGACACAAGAGGGAGAGAGAGACCTAGATTAACGTGGCGAATTTCCATTATGAAATTGATAAAGGCAATAGCAAGATCGTGGCTGGTAATAAAACAGATAGCTCAAAACAGAACACGATGGCGTGCATTAG